AATTTTTTTTGGTATTTTCCAAATTTGAGCACGTATGATAAAATAGAATAAACGAATTTAAACTGAATCAAGTTTATGTAAAAATGAAGTGCACTTTAGTCCTTTAAATGTCTTCCTGTCAATTCTTATGCAGTAATATTGGCTGTAGTAAGAAAAAATTCGTAGCATGGACTGAAAAAATAAAACTTAAGTTGGGCTTTTGTTTTTTACACGTTCGTAATTTCTTCTTCACCTCCCTTTTGGAGTGGGACGGGGAATATAACTTTTTAACATCTAAAACTATTATTTAGAATGTATTAAAAAAATATAATTATATATTCCACCGATAATTAGAAAAAAATTGTAGAAATTATCTTCTTTATGAAACTATTTTGATTCAATATGAGTTTTATTTATTTGTATATGCAAATTAAATTAATATTTAAAAAATTATTTAATATTGAATTAAATAAATTTTAAAATAAAAATACATTAGTACTAATTTGCTCGATACTAAATTATTTTAACTAAAAATTAATGATGAATTAATATCAACTTAATTGACACTGCATACAGCTAACTTTCAAAAGTCAATGTTACATACAACAAACATTCAATGTTAATGATTTAACGTCTATAATTTTAAAATTGTACGGTTTTTGAGGTAAATCCGATACTATTAACTAATTAGCGTTAACTTTTATTTATTAACATTTATTTTCAACCAACACAAAATATTTATTTATTTTATAACATAAATTATATTGGAACACGATGAGTCATAAATAAATTATATTGTTTTACAAAAAAAAATCAGAATAACTTAGACAAAGTAAAAAACATAACTCTTTTAAATATTTTAAACAAAAAGTTAATTATGTTTTTAGTTTTTAAATTTTAACACGAAATTAAAATTTGTTTATATTTTAAGCATTGATACATGTTGGTTTTTGAACTTTAAAAATGAATAAGTAAAATTCTTTTAACTCAATAACTTTAAATATTTTTACGTATCAAATAAGATTCATATTAGTATGTCATTTATATTATTTGATACTTTTCTGTTTTAATGTCAATTGTCTTTTAATAAGTCAAAAAATTAATATAATTAAATTGAAAATAATATATAATTTTATTTTTTTTTTAAAGTTTGAAGATAAAAAACATAAATAAATTTGAATTTAATAATAAACTTTAAAGATTAAAAACATATTTAACATTTTAGATAATTATAATGATTATAAAGACTAGTTTTGTAAAGAACGAGGTTCTATTAATTGAATTAAAAATAAGTTTTTGTTATGAATTGGTCAAACCTGCAATAAAATTACCAAATCAACTATTGCTTTAGCAAAATTCACTGGCACCAGTCATGTTGGATCTTTAACTCTCAAAAGTGCTCTTAACAAAATGGCTTATTTTACGTACAACAATTCTCAGTTGTGGTATCTCTGCTTAGGTCATAGCTCTCATAAAGTGTTGAAACATTTGTCTTCCACATATAATGATATTACGTTTCAGTCTTTACCTCCATGAGACACTTGCCATTTTGCAAACCAAAAGAAATTACCTCTTTTTTGCACAGTTTTCAATTTTTTTTGAATTAATCCATGTAGATATACAGGGTCCTGTTTCTCATACTTCTATTGATGGTTTTCAATATGTTTTGATGATTTCACAAGGTTTACAAGGACATATTTTTTACCTGATAAGTCTATTAAAAGTATCCTACCATCTTTTGTTCAACTAATAGAAACACCACTTTCTGTCAAACTTCAGAAAATCTGTTCAGATAATGGAAGAGAATTATAATAGAAACTACTAGAGTAAGAAAGCCTCCCTCATATCTAGCTGACTATCACTGTAATACTGTTTCATCTCATATCTTCTTCTTCTACTGCTCTGTATCCTATGGATTCTTACTTATCTTACTCCAAATTCTCTCCTAATCATATTGCTTTTTGTCTTTCGGTACAATTGATCCAACTTCCTACAAAGAAGCAAGTAAACTTGAAAGTTGGAGGAAGGCAATGATGGTCGAATTACAAGCTCTTGAACAGAGATCTAACCATGTCCATTTCTATGCCCTTTGCAGTTTTTTGTGACAATCAATAATTATAAATTACTAAATTTCCATATGAGATAGTTAAGGTTGTAAATTGTAGTTGTTCCAAAATGATTATAGTAGAAGACTATGCCATGTGCTTTTGGTCAGTGTCTTGAAGAAAAGCAAATAGATTTTGTCCAATAATGTATAACTGTTCCCCAGAAGCATGAATGCTGTATAAGTGCAAAGTGAAGACATGCCCAATAATTATTACCCACATCCCATGACCTAGTTCCATGCTAACACCAAACCCTAGGACCACCATAACCTAACACCTAAAAAACACACTCAAATCATGACCTTAAAGTATCAAATACACTACTCACCTTATCTCTTTGCAATTACTTTGTTTGTCACTACTACCTTGTTGGTTTTTCTTCTCATACACTAATGCAGCAACAACCAACCATGTTTACTAACAATATTACTCATCGTGTTGGTATATTAAAATGAGAAATCTCATTATATATATGTATTAGTTATCAAATGATTATTTTATTTTTATAACATTCTCATTTTTTTTAGGTGTGTTCGTGGGAGGGGATTTCGAGAGAAGATTTTTGGATAAACAAAAAAAACTTTAAAATAAAAACAGTTATAGTTGAATTCAAATAAAAATCTAGCTTTAAGTTTAACTGAATCTTTACTATTTTGTTATTATGTAATATTATTTAGTTTTTGGGAATTATTATTTTAAGATTTGTACATATCTTAACATTTATAAGGTGTAGTTGTAAAAGTTAATAAATTTAAGAATATATGATAATTTATTATTTAATAGTTATTAAAATATATAATAATTGGTTTTTAACATCTCAACGAGCATAACTTGTCTAATTAGTGTATTATCTCATGTTTTATCTAAATTTTAACATTTTTTAGTCTTATTCAAAAATGATAGTGGCTCGGACAACAATGTCGTGTAAAAGAAACAATAAATATATTAGTTTGGCGTTAAAGATCTCCAATTATGTTTTTCTCTTTCTAACAAATTAAAAGGATATGATCAATTTTAAAATATGTATATTTTAAGTCAAATTCTAAACTAATATACTTATCTATTGTTTGGAATTCTCTTTACATAATTGCATAAACCTCCCAAATATGTTAGTTGAATCCTTTGGTATAATGGTTGTTCTTACTCATTTCTTATTGTCAAAATATCTACATTTAGTTCAAACTTTTAACTCACATAGAATCAATTGACTTAGTTGATATATCTCAAAAATTTATACTCACACAACAACTCAAACCTCCCGTAAATATATAAAAAATTTAAGAAAAATTCTCATACATGCTAAATTGTTTAATACACCATATTCTTTCAAAATTTTAACAAAAATAACCAACATCATCACAATCTCGTCACAACATTCATCACACCACGATACCGCATAATATTAAAAAAAAATTATAAACTTGACTAATTTTTCTTACCAGAACTCGAACTTTTATCTTTACCAAGTTTCATATACTCAACTCTCACAAGATGTTTTATATAGATAAATAAAATTTAAATAAATTATTTGAATACATTAATGATCATTAATAAGTAGAAATTCATCTTGAATCTAAAAGAGTATAAAGCTCATGACATTTTTAGGTAGCCAGTTCATATTCTAATTAAATTTTTTTATATTTAGATTTAGTTTTGTAATTAAATTTGTATTAGAACCAAAAGTGCATATTGGTGAAATTATAGATTAAAAGTATATTTAAACCAATAATTACGAATAGGCCTAAGTGAAGTTGTTTTTAGATGTAATTATTTTTTAACGAGAATAGAAGTTCAAAAAAAGATATTTCCATTATTATGCACAAAGTTTCCTTTTTTTTAATATTAGTGATATATTAATTCTGGATTCTTACCATCAATGATAAAGAAATTAGTCCTTGTTTTTATATGATCCTGATAACTTTCTCTAACGAGAGTTTTAGAAAATCTAAAACTTAAAAGTCATTGAAAGAAATTTATGGATGAAATTGGTTAAAACAAAAACTTACGAAGATATGAACTTGACTTTACCCTTATTTTAGCTTTTGAAAATCAATTTTCTTGTCTAGATTCATTGTACCAAGGTTCCAAAAGGGACATAAATTATTATTATTATGCTTCGATCGAACCCTTTTCACACAGTCTATGCATTGGTAAACTTGGATGGTTACCACAGTTTATTACTGTCTTCATCTGGTGATGGAAGCAATGAATATCTTCCATGACCCGACAAAGCTTGGTTACGCCTATAGAGTTGCTTATACGACTAAAACGTTATTTGGGTCCACCAATGATGTTGAGGACAACATAATATCTCGAAAACCACGTCAGGGAACACATCATCAACCTTTTAAAAATCAATAAATAATACACTCATGAATAATGCCTATTTATTAAAAATCATCTTTGACAAAACTATACTTTTATCTTTTTTATAACAATCGTTTTCGTATTTTATTTTTTATAATGGAATGTGATTTTGAATCTTATTACAATATGAAATTTGTATTATTATATTCATCTGCATGTGTAAACTCTAACTATATGTAAATATATAAAACTCAATATAAAATTATAAATTAGTTAAAATCATTAATCCGATACTAATTTATCTAAAAAGGTATCCATTTCATTAATTTCGAAACCTCCCAACCATCTTGCATACATCATTATTGGTCCATATGATTATTTTTTCACGTAACTTTCATAATGTTCATGATTTTGTTTTTAACCAATTAAAAAATAGAATATTAGATCATTGGTTAACCCAATTTAAAAGATAAAAAGGATCATACTATAGAAATAAAAAATGATTCTTAAGATAAAATAGGGACAAAAAACTATAATCCACTCAAATTTAAAAATATCTCAGACTCAAAGATAGAAGGTGTCCTAGCGTGGTCCCAAGATACTTCAGATTTGGTGAATACAAATACAGCGTATTTCCATTGAGGATTCCGCAAGAGTGGGAGAGATCAACAGAAAAGAGAGTAAAACACATGGCGCAGTTTTCAGTGGTGTGGTGCGCGGTGGCGGTGCTATTGTGCGCCGTGGCGAGCGGGTCATGGTTGGAGGATGCGAATCCGATTCGGATGGTGTCGGACGTGGAGGGGCAGGTGATTCAGGTGATAGGTCAGTGCCGGAGCGCGGTGTCGTTTGCTCGGTTCGTTGGGAGGTTCGGGAAGAGTTACCAGAACGAGGAAGAGATGAAGCGGAGGTACGATATATTCTCGCGAAACCTCAGGTTCATCCGCGCCCACAACAAGAAACGTTTGCCTTACACTCTCTCCGTTAATCGTATGTGTCACTCACTCACTCAATCTTCGCTTGCTGTTGCTTTTACCCTTTTTGCCGTTTGATTTTTATCAGATTTGATCGGATTCCCATAGTTAATCATGCTTCTCACTGACTCAGTGTTATTATCAAGTTTTTGATGCTTTACTTATCACATACTTTTGTTTTGTTTTTTAAATTAATTAAGTTTATAGAAATCTGGATTTGATTATTTTCAAGTTTCTGTTAAATAATTTTTTTTTACATCCAAAATATTTCTTTTTCTGATTTCATTCAAGTTGTTTCATTTTTGTCAAATTATGTTTCCATTTTTAAGCATCTAATTTCTTCTTCTTTTATGTTTCTCTAACGAACTCTATTTTAAAAAGATTAAAAAGTAAGTTAATCGATGAGCAAAGTAAGTAAAATCAGAAAGAACAATAACTTTGAGTGATGATAAACTCAAACAATAAATTACTTAAACAAAAAATAAAAAGAAAAATGTTTACAGCACTCAATAAGATAATTTTTTGAATATAGATTTAATTGAAAATATTTGCAGTTAAAGTTTCTTAAAGCTTAATTAACTTTAAGAAAATAGTGAGTTGTATTCTAACAGTTTATTTTAAATGTTATTTTTTTATTAATAGTATAAAAATAAACTTTATAAAATAAATTAAAAATAAATTTTTAAACATTAACTAATAAATATAAATATTTTATTTATGAAGAACAAGTAGATTGATCCGTGGGACTCACTAGTGGATCCATAATTTTGGAGTATTAATAGAAGAAATATTACTCGTTTACTAAGAAATCTTTAGCATAATCATCCTAAAAGTTAGAAATAAAATAATGGATGACTTTATCTCCAAAGGTTATTAGGGAACAATATACTTTTATTTTTCATTTTAAATTACAGTACAAAAATGCTTGGCAACAAAGCACGTAAGAATACTATCCATATTAAAAGTTTGTGGAAACAAACTACAACAGTTCGAGAAGACACTTTTGTACATCACACTTTAGACGAATTTTTTATAAGTTATTTTTAATAGAGAAAAATAAAAAGGGAAAATTAGGATTGGTTACTTAGTCAACAAATTATTTTATACAGTAATTAACTGTAGAAACTAAATTCTATAATTTTTCTAATTTTTTTAATTTAGAAATAAGCTAATTTTAATTTATAAAAAGAAAATAGTATTGCTTAGTTTTTTTTCGTACTGTTTCTTTCTAAAACGACTTAAGAAGAAACTCTTTGGAACAGGCCCAAATGAGATCAATGTACTTGTGCCATTGGTTGAGTTTGATAAGTCAAGTTGACTAGTAGGTTGAACTAATTATCCAAGAGCTTGGTTTAACTCACTTTGCCACGAAATCATATTTATTTAACATTAGTGGAAACATAATAATGCTTGGTGTCTGTTTTTTTTATTATCTTATCTTATTCTGCTGATTTAAAACTTAATTTTTGTTATAATTTTTATTATTTTACATATTAATGTATACATTAATTTTAATATGTTTTTTTCTATGTATTTATTTAATATAGACACTTAATTCTCTAGTACAGAAAAAGAAAATATAGATACTTCTGTGATTCATCACATTTTAATGGTATTTTGCTATTTGTTTTTTTTTATTTTATTTATACCTGGTGTATATCACTATAATTATATAAATATTTTAAATTGGTTTAATTTTTTTAATTTGAATCTTCTGTTTATTTCAGTTTTATATATTGCATTATAATTATGTCATATTTTATAATTTGTCTTTTCTTTGACATGTTTAACTGTTTATGCTTTCTGAATTTCAAATTGTGTTTAAAATGAAATAAATAGCATGTTTGGTTCGAAACATGCTTTGACGTTATTTATTTGTCTTATGAATCAGATTTTGCTGATTGGACTTGGGAGGAATTCCAAACACACAGACTAGGTGCTGCTCAAAATTGCTCTGCCACTCTTAAAGGCAACCACAAGCTTACCGATGCTGTTCTTCCTCCAGTGGTACGTTTTCAAAATTCCACTTAACTGTACTGTTCCATACAACATAAGTTTGGCAACACCTCTCGTGTTCACTGTCAATCCCTTTTTAACACATCACATAAATGTTTGACTAAAGCGGTACGTGTGGCAGTTAATAATGATAATGTTGGAAACTAAAAGCACAATCATTCGAAAACAACATATTAAGAATAAATTGACTGATGTTCGTGACTTGAAAAACTAATTTGATGTATTGTTTTTTTTTTCATCCTATTCACTAATGGAAAAAAAATTAATTCTTGAACATTTGTTTTGCTTTTGAGATATAAAGTTTGTGTCTTTTTTATTCAATACCTTTTGCCATAATGTTTAAACGATACTGTGTAGCATCATTACTCAGATTTTTATTTCATTGGTCATGTGTTCAGAAAGACTGGAGGCAAGAAAATATAGTGAGCGCAGTTAAAGACCAAGGCAGCTGCGGATCATGCTGGACATTCAGGTAGGTTACTTTGGGACCCTGAAACACTCTTTGGAATGAACAACGAGTAAGGTACAGCTTTTAATTTGTGATGATTCTAACCATGATATCTGCATAATGCAGCACAACCGGGGCTTTAGAAGCAGCCTATGCACAAGCGCATGGAAAGAGTATCTCTCTTTCTGAGCAGCAACTAGTGGATTGTGCTGGTCATTTCAACAACTTTGGCTGTAATGGTGGGTTGCCATCACAAGCCTTTGAGTACATTAAATACAATGGTGGGCTTGACACAGAGGAAGCATATCCTTACACGGGAAAAGACGGTGTCTGCAAATTTTCAGCTGAAAATGTTGGGATTCGAGTCCTTGATTCTGTCAACATCACCTTGGTACTCACTTCTCTGATTTTGCTTCAATTTTTTTGATTCCTGTGTCCATGGCTTAACACCAGTGACAAAAACAACTTTTTATTTATTTCAAAAAAATTGACATCAGTATTAGTGTTGAAAATGCAATTTTTGTTACTAATGCATTAATTTCTTGCAGTGAATCAAATCTATCATGGTCTCACGCCTAGATGGTGTTTACATTAATTTTTTTAATTTATTTTATCCTATGCTTTGACTACAGGGTGCTGAGGATGAATTAAAACATGCAGTTGCATTTGTTCGACCAGTTAGTGTGGCCTTTGAGGTTGTTAATGGGTTCCGATTCTATGAGAAAGGAGTTTACACCAGTGACACTTGCGGTACCACTCCCCTGGTGAGTCCTACAAATGATTACCAGGCTTTAGATAGTCAAGAAAAGAAAAAAAAAATGTCTACTAAAATCTTCAAAACATTGTTTGCTACAAGTTTAGGCTTTTTGACAATTTCTATCCAATATATGGTATGTTGTTTTTCGTAACTTACCATGTACTAGTAGCATCTCAAATGTTAGTTATTGTTTTGATTTGTTCCAAGTTGTCCTCTTCGTTACCTTGTATCTTGCACGATCATTTTAGTAATTAAAATGATGCCAAAATCCGAATTTGCTTGGCAGGATGTGAACCATGCTGTTCTTGCTGTTGGGTATGGAGTTGAAAATGGTGTCCCATATTGGCTCATTAAAAACTCATGGGGAGAATCTTGGGGTGACAATGGCTACTTCAAGATGGAATTGGGGAAGAACATGTGCGGTGAGTATCCATTAAAAGCTCAGTTCTAAATAAGAAAACCCCTACAGACCATGCCCCAACGAAAACCAAACTTAAAATGACCTCAATCAATTGTAATTTAAAACAAGTGAACAATTGAAAATCTGGGTTTGTAATGATGAACTGATTTTGTTAATTGTTCATTTTCAGGTGTTGCAACTTGTGCTTCTTATCCAATTGTGGCCTAAATTGCATAACAAAATGGTCCCTAGTCTACCACCTCGCTTGCCATGCGTCAAAGTTTAGAGCATCTGATGCCCGTATTAATGATTAAAGATACGTGCCATTGTATAAAGAAAATTACTGCTAGTTGTGTTGGCACGATATAAAATAAGCTAGAAGTTGTTGTAAATGCTTAAGAATATCATGCACTGGATCGTGTGTATCACATACTTGATAATGATCATAAATTGTTAGTTATAATAAAAATTGCTGCAAAAGCTGTTTTTAATGGCAAAATAAAAAGAGAGGAATGAAAAATATGTATGTAATATAAACACTTACCAAACTTTTGATCGTTTGCTAATATCAACAGCCTATTTTCTTATTAAGAGCTTGAGAAATCATCACTAACATTATTATAAGAAAATCTCTACTCATTAATTTCGAAAAAGACATGGTTTGACATAAATAATAAACAAGAATAAACACTCAATTAAGATCCTCGTCAAGTTTATCCCGAGTTGGTTTTGGTTCATTTAATTTCTCATGTGATATCCTACTTTAAATCGTATAAACTTAGTTCTAGGAAGAATGAAAATGTAAGGAAAAATTATATTGGTATAATATTTGATCTTTTTCTATTAGATATCTCATATGTACATGTTTTGATTTAAATTAAAGTTAGTTGAGTAATATTCTTAGGAAAAAGATGTCTCAGGTGGAATGATAATTTAAATTATCTTAGGCCTTAATGGTAGGAACATGTTCGTGTTAAAACGACTCTTCAATTTTAAGTTCGTTAAATAATTGTCAATTTACTCTCAGGAGATATATTGTCCATTTTAGAATCTGTATAATTACACTTTTATCTTTAAAAGATGTCATAGAAAAAATGAAAAGAACTATAAAACTATTAGGCATGATAAGTACAATATACATTTTAAAGTTAATTAAAAGAAGCTTAAGAAGGTATTTTTGATCATTTCCTAACCAAACAGGTTTCTAATAGATTAAAAAATATATCATTGGAAACGTTCTATAGTATTATTTTTGTTAATATCATATAACTATTTAAACTTATAAATATCACGTGAAAAGATTGTGGTTGATCTCATAACTTGATAGACTCTACTTAATTCTAATAATGCAAAAAATTATCATGTGAGAAAATCTGTCCTAGCAATAATAACGTTAAAAATATCACAAATGAAATTATTATTTTTACTTAATGTACTGGAAAAACTCTAGACAAAAGGAACATAATTATATATTTAAGCAAGTAAGAAAATAAAGCAGTGAAACAAACATAATTAACAATTTATTTATTTATTTTTAAAAAAATTGTATTAGGTAAGCACGAGAATGTTAGAGTTTGTTTTGGCGAGCAGGGGATCGGAGAACCTCCGTTACTGAACCCTGGAATCGAACCCTCTCTTCTCTTCTCCTCTGTCATGGCGACGGACAGAAACGCTTCTCCACCAGCCGCATCGCCGGAGGACAACGCTCTGTGAGTCACTCGCGCACAATACTCCGATCACTCTTCATTTTCTGTTACGTAGTTCCGCGATGCATAACAAACATACTTCGATTTCGTTTTCCTAGCTTTCTCGATATTCTGCACGAGGCTCCCCTTTTTGCTCACCGCAAGCCTGCCAGGGTTATCGGCAGCGTCTTCTATTGCATAATATTGGCAAGTTCAATTCCTAATGGCTCGTTTCGCAACATGTTGTGGAGATTTTGATTGAATTCAATTTTGGCATTGATTGTGGTGTGAATTGCTTTTTTATTGGTTGGTTCCATTTTAGGCAGGTTATGCTGCTTTCGCCATTGGAGCTCAGTGGATATTTCTTCCCGTGCAAGGACTCATCTCTCCCGTGCTTTGTAGTTGTGATGTTCTTCTCTTGCTGTTGACAGGTTTGGAACTATCTCAATTAGGGTTTCTTGGTTATTATCTCTGGATAAGCTATCGCATTTTATGAACGAGTTGCTGAATGAATGCCTTTTGCTCTGGGTCTTAAGTTCTCTCTGCTTGTTTAAACGGTCTTTCTTTACTCGTTGCACTCAGTGTTGCTGCTTTGTCTCCACTGAGATCTCCAGAAGAATGCCAGAATTTCCTTGTTATGTTGATATGGCTACTACTAGCTAGAGCGTAGTTGTAATTCACTTTTTTCGATCGATTGATTTTATATATGGTGTACAATTGTATTATGGTGAAAATCAAACATAAAACAGTATGGATGTTTTTGATAGACAAGCTAGTGATAAGGAGAAAACACTTATTTCTTCACTAGTAATTTTCATTATAGCCATTTTGTCAAAGATTTGAACATGAGAATCAATAACCTTTCAAAATAAAGAGCGGTGGCTATGAATTTGACATTAATTTTTAACAAGATTTACTGGGAAAGAGGAAATAAATGAGAATGTTCAATCTGAAGCAATCACCTCCACCCTCAATGATAGAAGAAGTTAAGCCTGAGATTCATCCACTGTTTGTTGCATGCTTCACTTTGAGTACATTCATGTTTTAGGAGCCCAAATAAGATCCCTGTAGAATACTGATTTGTTATGCATTATATTGTACTAGTTAAAGCTGATTTTCAATGAAGCCATCGTGAGGTTTGTTGACCTAATAACTTTTCTATTGATTGATTTTATATGGTGTAAAATTGTATTTATGGTTTTGAAATATATTGGTGAATATAAAACATATCACAGTATGGATTTTGAGAGAGAAGTTAGTGATAAGGACAATTATTTGGCTTCACAATTAATTTTCTCCACTGCCATCTTGTTCAAGATTTTGGACATGAGGGTGGATACCTCTTAGAGTGGATTTATGTCTAACTCAATCTTACAAAACTGAATTCTAAGGATACGTTTGCACCTATTTATATAATATAATTTAGCTATACCTTTAGTCGATGTGGAGTCTCAATAGATTATGTCACACCTAATACTGGACATCTTCAACCTGAGACTAGATATTTGTGTGGTTTGATAGCAAGTAACATGATACCATTTCAATAGTTGATTTAGACATAATTCAATCCTAGAAAACCAATTTATAAGGTGAAGTTTGCATCCATTATATATTATAATTTGGTTATATCTTTAGTTAACGTGAGATTTGCAACAATAATTTATACAAATAAATAGTGGTACCTCATGAATTTGATGACTACTTTATGACAAGATGATATGGGAAAGAGGAAGCAAGTGTGAATATACAATCTGAAACACCCCATCCAACCAAAGGAAAAAAAGTGTTAATCCCAATCAACCGCTGTTAGCTGCATTGATTTTTAAGAGTCCAAACCAGATCCCTATAGAATACTGAACATTTTTTGTGTTAACACACCGTTACTAGTTAAAGATAAATTTTAATATAACCAACTTGAGGTTTGTTGATGTAATAGAATCTAAACTCAACTGGAGACAAAAGCTTTGGACTTTATATTTTTATTATGCTCATAGATACTAATGTATAAAGTTAACAATATTGCTTTTAGCTAAATAAACATTAGTTTAATTTTACTAAGCATTATAACGTACAAGCTTCTTCAACTTTTACTCAATATTCTCTGTATACAGTTTTATTATTTTTAATGGTCATATTTTTGCCGTTTCAGGAATCTTTCAACAATACCTGGTTTATCAAGTGCAGAAGATACGCTTGCAGGTAATTCTTTTAATGAATTTCGTTGTCACAATAGTTTCTGAAAGTATTGCGATGACATTAGACCTATAAGACTATATAATTACCACTACAGAATTTGCTGCAAAGATCTATGAAAGTTTTGGTTGTTTCATGTTGTTTAATGTTTCAATGTATTTTCTTTCATCACCAACATGATTTTTCAGGGCTACTATAGTTTCAGCCAGAAGTTGAAATTTCTTGTGCGCATACCCTTTTACATTACAGCCTATGGTATGTATTTCAATGTTTAAACTTTTCTTTCGGATTATACTTAACATATGATGTCGATTGATGAATGTGTCATGATGTCAAGAACCGACTCAAGCCCAAAACATAAATTGTTTGGTGGATGCACGTGAATGTCTTGATATTTTTAACATTGTGGATGGTTTATATTGTTTGAGTTGCATAATGATAGTGTTTTCAACTATTCAATTTTATGTCAGGAACCGCTGCAATGCTACTTGTTATAGTCTGGAAACCTTACACTGGTTTCCTGTGTATCTCTGTAATATTGAGGTATATTCTCCATTTGGTTGTGCTTTTTCATTTTAGATATTTTTTTAGGCTAGATTAAATTGAATTAAAAAAATTAATATTGCAAGAGTATGCAACTTTTAAACATGAAGGACTACATCCTTAATCTGAATCTTGTCATCAATAATAGGTGCCAAGTACATGGAATTGACATTGAGGCTTTTTTGTCATCTTTGGTCAAATGAGTATGCTCAACTTAAAACCGTACCGTTTTAAGAGTGATTTATCTAGTAGATTAGATAGTGAGGTTCAATATATTTTAACTTGTAAATTTTCAAGCTGGAGTATATATATGCTTAGTATGAGACAGTGTTTGGTTGGCAGTTTGACTGTTGGACACATCACAGCATATAGCATGTATTTGTCTCCCTGTCTCCTTCCCTTTGTTTAGATGAGTTCACAGTTGAACTTCTGGCATGGCCTCATACATTATTACGCTTATATCTTTGAAGGTTTGGTTTTTACCTAATGATAAATTATTCACCATCAAGCTCTTGTTCCATGTCATATTTCTTCACTCTGCCATTTTTCTCTTGCGATTGACTGGAAATTAGTTGCTCGCTGTTGTACTCTACTAAGATTTATTGTCTCATTTTGGTTGACTTAAAATTCTGCAGGATTATTATGGTAGTTGAAGCAGTATGTGCCGGATGCTTTATGAGTCTTTACATTGGTAAGTTTATGTAGTTTTATGGGAAGGAGGGGGGAAATGAAGCTACAAATTTCATTTTATGATTTGTTTATATTGATGGGACTAAGAGTGTGTTTGGTAATGCCAATAAGCTAGATACCAGCTAATAAGCTAGTTTGACTAACACAAAAAGCCTTTGGTACCTCAAATTAGTTCGTTTTAGGAGCTTCTAGATTATAAGCTACTTCAGCTAGCTTGTAGTTTATTTAATTTCCCTTCATTATTATCATTTATATTTCAACACATTTCCTTGGTATGTTTGATTTTTTTTACCCGTTATTTTCTTTATTAGTTTGGGTTAATATAGGACTATTATAATTGAAAAGATATTGATTTTTT